CCACAGCCGCCTCGTCTCACATCGCAGCCAGCGTGGCCCGGCCGCCGGGGCTCAGGGGCGCCTGCTCGGACGTTTGTGTGCCGCCTCTGTTTATGCCGAGTGACGCACACTGGCCGTTTTTGTGAAGGCGCGGAGCCGTGCTGTCTGCCGGCCGGTCGGCGGCCCCGACAGTGCTGGGAGCAGGCGCTCGCGACTGGTACAGGAGACACGCGGGCGCCTGGAAGACATGAGGTCAAGTCCCCGGGCTGCGGTCAGGGTGGTAAGGTGAGCAGCCCCTCCCCATCTGGTAGTACGGGTAGACTGGGCGTGTTTTGGTGTAATTGTGCTGCGGTTTCGAGACCTGTGTTGTGAATCGGAGCACTGCTGGAGGCTGGGGATCTTTTCCTGCCAGTGGCCATTGTTGGTTATCCAAGTCTTATCGCGATGCTATCGATCTGGCTTACATGTTATGCATGTAGAGTGGTGTTAGCCTCGCCGCATATATCTGTGGAAAAGCTTCATTGAAAACACTGCACGGCTTCTTTGTGTGTATTTCTGATTTGCCCAGGCCGCGCTGGGCATCCTTGCCATGCTGTAGACGCTAGAGTTAAATACTTAAAAGGCTTAGGTCAAATTCGTTGAACTTAAATTAGCAGCATCATAGCTGGTCACGTCCTGAACTCACGGAATATGAATGAGCTTGGCCGCTTATGGCACGGCATGTGATGTCTTGGAAGTAAAACCGTGGGATACCAGATAACTTTAGTTGGTTTGGTTGTGTTACCTGAGTCGAGAGGCATCTTCAAGGCAAAGATGTCGTTGCTATGTGTAGTACATGCATATACTGAACGTGATGTGTAGATGTCGTCGCGTCGAGCGCATCGCAAACTCAATTTGGAATGGATCGCCCTCGTGTTATGTCATTTAAGCACGCATGCATCACGCAAGTGTATTCTGTTTCGCATTCAGATCGACGCAACTCATTTGTCGCCGTGGCCTCGCAGCGCATCGTGGAACTGAATGCAAGTACAGCCACTGAGAGGGGTATTGCAGGCATTCACATCATGCCATGAAGTGCTGCCTCGGCCCTCGGGGAAGCGTAGGCGGAGCAGTCAATAACAAAAATTGCATTGCAATTCAGCTTTCGATTAATGCCATTCTGCAACATCGGGTGACACTGAGACAAGTCGTGTGCGCGGGGCGCCGCTCGCATCCGATGGATCAGCAGTGCAGTGGTTCGCAATTCACGAAACATTTCGCGGGTCAAGTCGATGAGCACTTTCTAGAGGTGGAATGAAGCACACCATGTGTGTTACACACAGATTGTGAGATCATCTGGACAGATTACCCGACCTAACACAGGAATACGCACACGTCATGGACAGATCACCCGACCCGATACAGGAATACGCACACATCATGGACAGATCACCTGACCCGATACAGGAAAACGCACACATCATGGACAGATCACCCGACCCGATACAGGAAAACGCACACATCATGGACAGATCACCCGACCCGATACAGGAAAACGCACACGTCATGGACAGATCACCTGACCCGATACAGGAAAACGCGCACGTCATGGACAGCTCACCCGACCCGATACAGGAAAACGCACACATCATGGACAGATCACCCGACCCGATACAGGAAAACGCGCACGTCATGGACCGATCACCCGACCCGATACAGGAATACGCGCACATAAAGCCCCTGATCATAATGAACAATGCGGCATGTACTGACAGCAACTATAACAAATAATATATATAGAGCATAAACATATAAACCTGATAATACAATTCAAACACGCATGTTTTTCCAAGTACGTGCATCAAGTGTGCTATTGTTTACCTGTCCGTTTGTCATCCCCGAGGCTCCTACGGAGAGCAATGGACGATGGACCGCGCTGTGGCAGGCATGATGGTCTTCGCTTCAAATTTAGTAAATGAGACGACTTTGGCGGTGCAGGCCAGATGGATGTTGGCTAAGGTCATGCAGGCTGGCACACAAGCCATGTAACGGTGGCAAACGGCATGGAAATGTGTTTTCACAACTTTCCGTTGCTGAGGAATGGTCCTGCTGGGTCAAAATGAGTCAAAAGAAAACAGCGGTCACAGCAGACTATGTCTGCCAAACACTGTGACCCAAGACTCGTTCTTGCAAAATATTCGCTCAAATTTAAGATTAGTAGTTACAGCGGTGATATCAACATAAGATAGATGCATTCTTCAAAAGCATGCTTCCAACTCGTGGAGTAGCACGGTGCTAAAGTTTTGTGCTAGGTTTGAAGATCCTAAACAAATTAAAAAAAAAGATAAAGAGAATAATGCGCACCCTCACGTCCCATTCGCTCAGTGCATGTCGCAATCAAATGCAAATATTTGTCCCGTTCGTCAACAGCTTCGTTTACGTCGCTGCAGTGTCCACTGGTCCGAAACAGCGACGTTTTACAGTCAGCAATAGCACTGCCATAAAACCGAGGCGAGCTGAGTAGCCAGCTTTCGTCCATCCA